TACCCCGACTGCTGATAAGCCTCTCTCTTCTGGTCCTGCTTTCCCACCTGTTGGATACCAGAAGAACCAAAATAAAATATTACAGGGTGATGTGCTAGTAACCTCTCCCCTGCATGCAAAGAAAAAGAGGAAAACTCAGCTTCTAGGACACCGCCAAAGCCCAAAGATTTCTGACTACAAAAAGACTAAAACTGAAAATTAGTAAGAAGAACATGAACACGAATCTTATTGTGCTATGTTGGTACACATTCCTGTTCTGTTTTGTTATAATAATGTTATGCTTATTGCCTTGTCTAGCACCATGTCTTATAGCTCTTGTACAGCGGACTGTGCAGTCAGTTGTAAAACGTGAAATGTACATTACCAGAATCTAGCAATGGCTGAAACAGATTAAGTATAATTCGAAGAAAGCATCTTGAGGAGGGAATTGTAGTAAAATATAGTAAAAACTGTGTGCTTCTTCCCCCTTCCATTACTTAAGCTTGAAACAGCACATATCTAATTGCGCATGTTTTAGAAGCTGTAGTAAAAAGGGGAACTAGCTGTTTAGACCCATTTCTCAAGGACTGGATTACACGTATTATTTGAGTTAGGGAAATTTGCTAATTGCTATTACTTAAGTAAGCTGTACTGGTGGTTGTTACTGAGTGGAATAGAGTTGAAATATGCTAACCAATAACGCTGCAACACGAAGCTAAGGTAACAAATCAAGACGTGCCAAGTTGGATAAGAAAGTTAAAGAAAATATAAAAAAGGATGCTTAGCCAACGCCCAGGGTCAGCTTTGCTTTGAGCAATAGCTCCTTGGCTGACCATTGCTTGCAAACAATAAAATGGAGTTGGACCCAGCCTGAAAGTGTGACTCTCTTCTGTGGGCAAATTAGACTGGCCTCCAGGGGATGAACCTTGCAATTTATGCAACAAGCTCTCCTTGTGGATTGGCTGGCTGCCCCCCTGGCTGCCTGCCACCCTGCACTGCTGCCTCTGATACAAGCTCCCTGCAGACAGAGGCTGCTGGTGGGAGCTTGCACCCGCTGTGGACAGGGGCTGCTGCTGCAAAGCAGCCTCTGCCCGTAGTGAGCCCAGGCTCGCCACAGACAGAGACTGATTCATAGCAGCCTCCCCGGCCCTCCTCCCCTCCCCTGTGCTGCTGCTTCTAATAAAAGACAGCAGGGGGTGGCACAGACAGCAACACAGAGCCCAGTGCTGAGGGAGCAACTTTTAAGCCAGCTCCCCCTAGCACTGGCTTCTGGTCTCCCCCTTGCTGTCTCTGTATAAACCTAGGGTTATCAGTTAACTGTATACCTGACTACTCATTCAAATCCCTAATTCTTGTCCATCAGAGGGGAAAGCCCAGCCCTCAAGAGCATTTCCAACCTCTAAGGTAGTATTATATTGTAACATTTGTATGTCACATCAATGAAGTGTGAGGAGCTGTACAAAGCATTTGAAAACTGTCCCTTCCACACTGAGTTTAAGATTTATTTTTACTAGAATATTTTTACAACTAAGTTCTACCATTGCTTGTAAGGCATTGTTAGCAATAATGGGAGCTCAGTTGGAGCATAGGTTTTTGCAAGTTCTAACAGCTGAGCATCAACTGAACCTACTCCCTGCAAGTCTAATTATCTAGTGCTGAAAACAGCTGTCAGAATCAGAAAGCTACATAAATGCATGAAAAGTTTTTGTAACAATTCCTTAGACACATTGGGCTTAAGAGATATAGACATGATTCCAAAGGATAGGAAAATGGGGCCAGAAATGAAAGCCAGATCTCCTGAACTGCTAGAATACTGCCTATATAGCACAAATGCTGCCAACATGATCTTGCTTCTAACTGGTTCTCTCACTTTTTTTGGGGGGTGGAGCAAAACTGGAGTGGAGAATAAATATACATGTAATGAACATGGTCCCTACTTCATTACAGAGTATTTTCCCAAACAATAATAGTGGTAGTGAAACAATTACAGGCAGTCCCCGGGTTACGTACAAGATAGGGACTATAGGGGTATGTCTACACTACCCTCCTAGTTCGAACTAGGAGGGTAATGTAGGCATACCGCACTTGCAAATGAAGCCCGGGAAATTCAAATCCCAGGCTTCATTTGCAAGTGCGGTATGCCTACATTACCCTCCTAGTTCGAACTAGGAGGGTAATGTAGGCATACCGCACTTGCAAATGAAGCCCGGGAAATTCAAATCCCAGGCTTCATTTGCAAGTGCGGTATGCCTACATTACCCTCCTAGTTCGAACTAGGAGGGTAATGTAGGCATACCGCACTTGCAAATGAAGCCCGGGAAATTCAAATCCCAGGCTTCATTTGCAAGTGCGGTATGCCTACATTACCCTCCTAGTTCGAACTAGGAGGGTAATGTAGGCATACCGCACTTGCAAATGAAGCCCGGGAAATTCAAATCCCAGGCTTCATTTGCAAGTGCGGTATGCCTACATTACCCTCCTAGTTCGAACTAGGAGGGTAATGTAGGCATACCGCACTTGCAAATGAAGCCCGGGAAATTCAAATCCCAGGCTTCATTTGCAAGTGCGGTATGCCTACATTACCCTCCTAGTTCGAACTAGGAGGGTAATGTAGGCATACCGCACTTGCAAATGAAGCCCGGGAAATTCAAATCCCAGGCTTCATTTGCAAGTGCGGTATGCCTACATTACCCTCCTAGTTCGAACTAGGAGGGTAATGTAGGCATACCGCACTTGCAAATGAAGCCCGGGAAATTCAAATCCCAGGCTTCATTTGCAAGTGCGGTATGCCTACATTACCCTCCTAGTTCGAACTAGGAGGGTAATGTAGGCATACCGCACTTGCAAATGAAGCCCGGGAAATTCAAATCCCAGGCTTCATTTGCAAGTGCGGTATGCCTACATTACCCTCCTAGTTCGAACTAGGAGGGTAATGTAGGCATACCGCACTTGCAAATGAAGCCCGGGAAATTCAAATCCCAGGCTTCATTTGCAAGTGCGGTATGCCTACATTACCCTCCTAGTTCGAACTAGGAGGGTAATGTAGGCATACCCCTATAGTCCCTATCTTGTACGTAACCCGGGGACTGCCTGTACTTTGGTGAGCTTAGCACAAGAACTCAAACATCATTTGGACATTGCAACCTTTTTTCCCCTCAGATGGAGAAAGAAGGCTATAAGCCAGGACAAGAGAGGTAACCTACATCTTTTTGAAAGCTGCAACTGGATCTTTAGGGTCTACTTGGACATCCAAACAGGAATAAAAAGATGGATTTTAGTTCCATACTTTGCCTTATACTTAGCTTGTAGACTGTCTAGGCTAGGATATGGCCTATCTTATCTCTCTGTTTGTACAATGCTGAGCACACTGGGTCATATCTGTGTCTAGGGCTCCTACATTTTACAATCCAATTACAATCTCTTTTCTGAAGCTGCCTTTCCCAGTGCTGCCTTGCAGCATCAATGTGGCAAATCCCATTCCTGGGCAGCTTCTTCATGGCACAGCATTGTGGCCCTGGGGGCATCCTGCCTTCCCTGACTACTTGCAGGCAAGAGTACTCCAAAGAACGCTCCGGCGCCGGGGTTGAACCTATGAAGCCATTATGCACAAGCTCCCCCTTCTACCCTGAACGTTCCCATTTCACCCTCATGCCAGGGCGTCAGGTTCCCGGTTTTCCCTCCTGTTTCCCCA